GTGTTTTCGGAATCGAAGTAATATGTTAAACAAATCTTCCTGCAGTCTTGGACCTGCATGCAATACGTCGTTTAATGCTATACCATTAGACGTTTTGCATGATGCATCAAACACGACTCTCAGCTTGGTAGTAGTGCTTTCCGGCCGTAAAATAGCGTGATGAGGGAGATAATATTTGGATTTTAACTTTTCCGCATTTGCAATTATATATAATATATATATCATATGCCCTAATTCGATATATTCTTTTATGAAATTTGTGTATTGCTCCTTTAGGCTTGGGTGTTTATTGAATTTTCTTTCTAATGCCGAAAAACGGCTTGAGATTCAGAATATCCTAAGTTTTTCGGTGTGTTTTTAAATGGCAGAGCAACAATATATTGTCTATCGGCTCCTCTTGACACATTTTGTTCGAATTCCTGTTCACATTCTACCTCCTCCTTTGTTAATGTAATGTTTCTTCATTTTTTCTTCAATTTCCCAAGTTGATGTTCAATGCCAACTCCAGAATAGGTCACTATTCGACCTTCTTTTGAAGGATTCTCTAACTCTATTTTACCGTAAGCAGCCCAACCAAAAAGCGTTTCTCGTAAACGCAATCTTCCTTCGTTCAATTGAATCTTTCCAGATTTTTCCGTTTCATGCACCAGATAATACCGAGAAGCATATCAATACCTTGTGGAATGTTGAACTGTGGATCCGCTAACTCTATGTGATGTGGAATATTTCCAATTTCAAACCTCTTCTTTGGCATATTAGATACAATTTTTTTTACTAATTAATACCTCAATTTCGGTGTTGAATTCTGTGGTTTTCGATCTAATCTGAGCACTCATACCTTCGTTTATTTGAGAAAAGTTATCTGAAAAACCTTCAATAGTTTCCTGTACCTTTTCTGCCTTTAATTTTAATTTTCGCTTAAACTCGGTAGTGATGAAATTTACTTCCGAGCCACTGTCTAATAATACTCTACAGTTTTGCCATTTGCCTTCTCCATCTAATACTTCAACGACTGCTGTTGATAACAAAACACATTTTTTCTCATTTTTGAACCATTTTGAGCTAGTCACTACTGAATTGTTTATGTGTAAAAGATTATGATGTGGACCGCAGCATGTGCGAAAAACCCAACTACAGGTGGCAAAGGAATGTCCCACCTGCAAGCATTTTCCACAAATTTAGTTCTTTTTTATTATTTGCCATCTTTCTCTTATCGTAAGTTTTTATACTCTGTACATGAAATGTACAAGAGTATATTAGGTTTGCGGGAGCTGAAAAATGTAACAGGCAGAAGGAGGCGTGGCAGACCCCACAAAGTATATATATTCTTGATCAGCATGACGAGACGAGTCGATCTAGCCCTGTCTGTCTGTCTGTCCGTCTGTCCGTCCGTATGAACACCTGGATCTCAGAGACTATAAGAGATAGAGACACCAAATTTTGCACAAAGATGCGTTATGTGTGTATTCTATACGAGTTTGTTTTATTTTTTTGATTTTCCCCCCCACTTCCCCCCTATGGGGGTTTTCCCGATTTTCCATTCGTATAATCGCCTATATCTCGGAGACTATAAGACCTAGGAACACCAAATTTTAGTCCCAGATGCCTTATGTGAATACGCAGAAAATGTATATTTTGGAATTCCCCTCCCTCCCCCCTCTACCCCGCAAATCGTAACTCCCGTAATTCTTGGAATTTCGAACTAAAATTTTGGAAATACCCCCAGTTGGTTATTATGTGTCCGTATGCCAAATTTCATTATGATAGACCGATTTAACAAGAAGTTATAGCCATAAATATATTTGTTGATGCAGCGCTGCTGCAGCGCTGCTCAAGCACTGCCCGCGGCTGTTGTTGATGTTGCTGTTTGGTTGACTGCGAAAATGCTTACACAGACACGAATAGATGCGCATAGGCATACATACACTCACACAGACGCAATTGCTATGTAAATGTGCAATTATACACCCTTTACGTGAGTTCGAATACCGAGAGAGGTAAAATCGATCAAATTTTTTTTTATTTTCTTAATTTTTTTATTTTCTATAATTATTGTAAACATATGTACAGAGTATTTCAAAGTCGGGACACCCGACTTTAGCTTTTTTACTTGTTTAAATTTCGGACACTTATATACTATAATTGCATTCCAAAACACAAGTCTTTTTTCTATTTTGTGATATAAACTTGGCTTTTGATTTTTATTCTTCCGCGCATTGTTGTTACCATCCATTTGGCAAGCTTCTAATGCAGAACATTCATGCTCTAAGAATGTTAACAGGGGGTCAATTTTTTGAAAAGTTCCTTGAACGTATTCCACTCTGTATAGCTTCCATAAAAACACGGTATTTCAATTTTTGGCAAGTCGAAGTTCATATTTTCCTTTTTTAATTCCGGATTCGTAATATTGGTCTGTTAACCTCTCAAACGTTTCTTCTAACTCTCCTATACCCCATTCATTTGAATATTGATAATAAAGATCATCTGCACGGGATTTAGCTTTTTCGATTTCACTGAAATCTTTTCCATCATATCTTTTTAAGGACATCTTAAAACATTTTAAAGCATGTTCTATCTGCTGTTAAAAAAGCCGCACTTTTTGTATTATCTGGGCCTACTAATGACTGCGATTCTCGCAAATCAGCCTTCCTATTTATCTGCTTATTCATTTGCCCCAATAATGAGTAAGTAACTGTAAAAAGTTCACTTACCTTTTCTCCAAATTTTTCTTTAAAATATGGTGATTTCAATATTGTTGCTGAAGGATTTTGCAGTCCGATTTTATTTGCCTCGAACTGGATCCTCAGCTCTTCTACCTTGCGGTTCCACTGGTCCAGCTGTTGACCCGATCCATCCCATTTTGTCGCTGCATTGTAAATGGCCTCCAAAACTCTTCCTATGCCCTCTTGCTCTTTTATTATTTGGGCTTCGTTTGCCATATTGATTTTTAGTGCAGTACTTTGAAATTTCCGCACAATATTTAATAATTTTATATTGGTATAAATGATAACATAACACTTTTTAATTTTCTTTGAGAGCTGGATGTTTTAGTCCACTATATTAATTTTTAGGGACACAACGCAGCACTTCTTACACTTGTGTCCTTTTTATACTCTGTACATGAAATGTACAGAAGTATATTAGGTTTGCGGGAGCTGAAAAATGTAACAGGCAGAAGGAGGCGTGGCAGACCCCACAAAGTATATATATTCTTGATCAGCATGACGAGACGAGTATATCTAGCCCTGTCTGTCTGTCTGTCCGTCTGTCAGTCTGTCCGTCTGTCCGTCCGTATGAACACCTGGATCTCAGAGACCATAAGAGATAGAGACACCAAATTTTGCACAAAGATGCGTTATGTGTGTATTCTATACGAGTTTGTTTTATTTTTTTGATTTTCCCCCCCACTTCCCCCCTATGGGGGTTTTCCCGATTTTCCATTCGTATTATCGCCTATATCTCGGAGACTATAACACCTATGGTCACCAAATTTTAGTCCCAGATGCCTTGTGTGAATACGCAGAAAATGTATATTTTGGAATTTCCCTCCCTCCCCCCTCTACCCCGCAAATCGTTACTCCCGTAATTCTTGGAATTTCGAACTAAAATTTTGGAAATACCCCCAGTTGGCTATTATATGTCCGTATACCAAGTTTCACTATGATAGACCGATTTAACGAGAAGTTATAGCCATAAATATATTTGCTGCTGCAGCGCTGCTCAAGCGCTGCCCGCGGCTGTTGTTGATGTTGCTGTTTGGTTGACTGCGAAAATGCTTACACAGACACGAATAGATGCGCATAGGCATACATACACTCACACAGACGCAATTGCTATGTAAATGTGCAATTATAAACCCTTTACGTGAGTTCGAATACCGAGAGACGTAAAATCGATCAAATTTTTTTTTTATTTTCTTAATTTGTTTTATTTTCTATAATTATTGTAAACATATGTACAGAGTATTTCAAAGTCGGGACACCCGACTTTAGCTTTTTTACTTGTTATACTCTGTACATGAAATGTACAAGAGTATATTAGGTTTGCGGGAGCTGAAAAATGTAAAAGGCAGAAGGAGGCGTGGCAGACCCCACAAAGTATATATATTCTTGATCAGCGTGACAAGACGAGTCGATCTAGCCCTGTCTGTCTGTCTGTCTGTCCGTCTGTCCGTCCGTATGAACACCTGGATCTCAGAGACTATAAGAGATAGAGACACCAAATTTTGCACAAAGATGCGTTATGTGTGTATTCTATACTATTTTGTTTTATTTTTTTGATTTTCCTCCCCACTTCCCCCCAATGGGGGTTTTCCCGATTTTCCATTCGTATAATCGCCTATATCTCGGAGACTATAAGACCTAGGAACACCAAATTTTAGTTAGTTAGGAAATACCCCCAGTTGGTTATTATGTGTCCGTATGCCAAGTTTCACTATGATAGACCGATTTAACGAGAAGTTATAGCCATAAATATATGTGCTGCTGCAGCGCTGCTCAAGCGCTGCCCGCGGCTGTTGTTGATGCTGGTGCTTTGGTTGACTGCACACATGTTTACACAGACACGAATAGATGCGCATAGGCATACATACACTCACACAGACGCAATTGCTATGCAATTATAAACCCTTTACGTGAGTTCGAATATCGAGAGAGGTAAAATCGATCAAATTTTTTTTTTTATTTTATTAATTTTTTTTATTTTCTATAATTATTGTAAACATATGTACAGAGTATTTCAAAGTCGGGACACCCGACTTTAGCATTTTTACTTGTTTTTTTTTACTTTTTTTATGTTTCTTAATTTTTTTAATTTCTTTAATTATTCTACACATATGTACAAAGTATTTCAAAGTCAGGTAACCCGAATAAAGCTACTCCAATTTTTGGTTTAGAGATAAATATCAACGCCTACCTCTACAACCCCAGCATGCCATTCTACTTAAATTATGTACAAATACACAAACATGCATGTTTATTGTATATAACTTTTTTATTTAGGTACTGAAGGCGTTACAACTGTCGCTGTGAAAACACTTAAAGAAAGTGCTACCGAAATTGAAAAAAAAGATTTATTGTCGGAACTGGAGGTGAGTTTTAGTTACCTAAAATTGTTATATTCTATAATGGTCTTATATGTTAAAGCAAATTTTTGTTCCCAAATTTGGAGTTATGCTTTTTAATGCTCGAATCACCCAGATGGCAAAGCTTATGTTGGAACTTGTACATGAAATGTACAAGAGTACAAGGTGCGCTTGAAAGTAAACAGGACTTTTTGAATCTAGCGCCTCCTTGTGGCGCAATCTATGTATATCTCGACTGGTGCGTTAGAATCTGCTATCTTTATCAGTGCGAATTCGGTCCAGTGAGAATTTCATGACATTTCATCGATTGGAAGTGAAGTTATTGCTATTTAAGTGTTAGTATGTTTGTGTTATCGGCGCGAAGATGAGCTTCGAACAAAGAGCCAACATTAAATTTTGTTTTAAAATTGGCAAAACTTTTACCGAAACGTTTCAATTGATGGAACAAGTTTATGGCGATGATTGCCTATCCCGTAGCAGAGTGGTTTCAACGTTTTCAAAGTGGTCGTGAGGACATAAATGACGATCAACATGTGGGCCAATCAAAATTCGTGATCAACGAAAATTCCATCGAAACTGTGCGTGAATTCATCAAAAATCAGCCGAAATCATCATTGAAATTGATGGAAATGGAATTGAACATCTCCAAAACATCGATTTATCGCATTTTGACCGAACACTTGGGCTTACGAAAGGTGTGTGCACAAATTCACTGACGACCAAAAATTGATCAGAATCGATCGACGCTTGTGACCGATTATCTGACCAAAATCACATTTCAACCATTAACCACTCGCCGTATTCACCTGATATGGCACCGTGCGACTTCTACCTTTTCGGAAAAATGCATTTGCCCATGAAAGGAAAGCATTATGCAGACGTAGAGGTCATTCAAAAGGCTTGCACCGGCATACTGGTGGCCATACCGGCCAACGAGCTAAAACACTCGTTCGACATGCTTTGCTGTATTGAAGCAGAAGGAGATTATTTTGAATAAAATAAATTGATTTTTCCGAAAAAACCATTTGTTCTGTTTTTTTTTGAAAGTCCTGTTTACTTTGGAAAACACCTTGTATATTAGGTTTTCGGGACGTAAAAATGTAACAGGCTAGGCAGACCTCACAAAGTATATACACATGTATATTCTTGATCACCATGACAAGACCAGCCGTTCTAGCCCTGTCTGTCTATCTGTTCGTATTCCATACATACATACATAAGTGGAGACATAAATATCCCTTTGTACAATTTCAACAGCATACATTTACATCAGAATAATGTCTCTGCGTGTTTATATGCGTGTATGTATGCAGCTAAGGGTTAAACTGAAGCAGTAACAACAGCTGCGGGCAGAGCTTGGACAGCGATTATACTTAAGGCTATAACTTTCTTCATAATAGCTATAGAAGTAGAGACACCAGACTTTGCACAAAGATGCCTTATGTGTGTACGCTGTGCAAGTTTGTTTTATTTTTATACTCTGTACATGAAATGTACAGGGGTTTATTTTATTCCCCCCCCCCCCCCCCCCCCTTCTACCGGTTTTCCCGATTTTCCATTCGAAAAATCGCCTATATCTCGGAGACTATAAGACCTACGGACACCAAATTTTAGTCTAAGATGCCTTATGTAAGTACGCAGAAAATGGGTATTTTGGAATTTCTTCCCTCCCCCTCCCACTACAGAGTATTTCAAAGTCGGGATACCCGACTTTAGCTTCTCTACTTGTTTTGATTTGATTTTATTTTATTTGAAAGTAGTCAAAAAGTCTTTTGCCAATAGGCGATTAGTTATTGTGAATAGCCTCGGGATGAGATCCATTGTTGTTTTTAATACCCTGTCTGAAATTGTGGATAACCCAGATTCAGCCAGAATACAGAGAATAGGTGACGTAGGAAATGCGTTGATAGAGCGGCGGACTATATTTGCCTGATGTGGGACGTTGAACACCTTCCGAAGATCGGTAGACCGTAGTGAATTTTGAAAAGCATAAGGGCCCGAGTAATGTTAATAAGTGTGTTTATATGTACATTGGTGTACTATCTCGAACTTAAAAATTTAACAAGAAAGGAATGCTAAAGTCGAGCAGGCTCAACTCTTAAATACCCTGTACCACCCCACAAAAAAAAATTAAAATAATTAAATTAATTAATTAATTAAATTAAATTAATTAACTAAATTAATTAAATTAAATTAAATTAATTAATTAAATTAATTAACTAAATTAATTTAATTAATTAACTAAATTAAATATAAAATATTCCATACATGCATACATACATTTACACTTACATCAGAATCGTGTCTATGCGTGTTTGTGTACTTGTACATATGTATGTATGTGTGCATTGGGCATGGCTATATGGCTATAACTTCTTTCCGATTATTCTATCATAATGAAACTTGGTATACGGATATATAATCACTAACCTAATGTGACTACCAAATTTTAGTTCAAAATTCCAAGAATTACGGGAGTTATAGAAAATCGTTAATAGGGGGGAGTGGGGGTGGTGGATCAGAAAAAATGAACAAACTCGTCCTTTCTCGGGCTCAGAGAATCTGTATACCAAGTTTGGTTATTCTAGCTCTCATACTTTCTGAGATCCTTGCGTTCATACAGACAGACAGACAGACGGACATGGCTATATCGACTCGGCTTGTCATGCTGATCAAGAATATATATACTTTGTGGGGTCTACCAAGCCTCCTTCAGTGTGTTCCATGTGCACTCGCACAAAACTAATATACCCTTGTACCCTTTGGGTACAGGGTATAATAATATTTAAACGTGTTTCTAGTTGTTTTCTTAGGTAAAGCCAATGCTCCTTGAAGATAAACTTCGAGTCAAATATTATACCCAAAATTTTTAAATGGCTTATGTCGGAAAAAGTATTTACGACAGATAATGAGTAGTTGACATTTTTCTATGACTAGTGTTGCACCTGAAAAGGCTCCCGATGATTCTATAGTAAGTCTTGTAAAATGTTTTAAAATTTCTGTCTGCCCAATTTTACGTTTTTAATTTTCGTGTATATAATAGCGTCATCTGCATAAATCGATACCTTTGTATCTATTAAATATGCTGTTTATTTGTTCGAGTGCTATCATAAAAAGAACTACTGAAAGGGGGGAGCCTTTGGGGATGCCGTTTAGTAGTTTGTGTGCGGCTGTGGTGACATTATTGACTCTGAATCTAAAGATGCGATTGGTCATAAAGGCCAAAATGGAGACATGATTTTTGGTCGAAACGGCATTTAACACTAAGTGCAGGATCCGCAGTAAAGCGGATCGTGCTGTGTTTCCGTTTAAATGCTACTTGGTTGTGTGATATTAAATTGTATCGAGAAATGTATCACATAAGCCTGCGAGCAATTATTTTTTCGATTGTTTTAGCTGATAATCTCGTGTGTAGGCTTGTTTGGCGTGGCTATTGGGACAACGATAGCTGAGCTCCAGGTGTGTGGGTATTATCCAGTTTCGAGCATGAGGTTGTATATTACTAGATGTGAAGTTTTCAAGACAAGTACATTTAGCTGAAAGAACCGCTTTTTATACTCTGTACATGAAATTTACAGGAGTATATTTTAAATATAGCATTTGCTTTTTTATATTCGATCAGATTAGTGAAAGACATATGTATTTTGTATAAATAGAAGGAAGCTTGCTTCTTGTTCCTGAGCTGCTGGAGACTGTTGTTCCACAACGGAACTTTGGCTTTATGAGGTATGTGCTTAGTTTGTGCAATGCTACAGCTGCAACCAAGCTCTAATGCATTTAGTGAGTTGGGCTACCAGGTGGTTTAGGCAACCAAAAGTCCCGATGTACGGATTATTACTGCATTTTTTCTTAAAGAGTTCCCAGTTTGCTAGGTCAGTCTTGTACTTTGGTAGTGGTGGAGTAAGGTCCAGGGAAAAATGGCAGAATAGCTTAATAAAGATTGGGAAGTGATCACTTCCATATAGGTTTTTAGATATTGACCACTCGCATCTATGGGCGATTAAAGGAGATATGAGGAAGATGTCAACATGGGTTAAAGTGTTGTGTGTAGAAAGGTGAGTGGGAGAACGATCGTTTAAGACGATTAGGTTTTTGTCAGAGATAGCCCTTTCAACGTTTTTGCGACGGCAGTTAATCAGAGGAGAGCCCCATAATGGGCTCCATGAGTTGAAATCTCCCAAAATTATGGTCGGGCTAGAAAACTGGGTAAAAATTGGTAATAAGTTATTACTTGAAAATTTTTGACAGGGTGGAATGTATGTCTATATAATGGTATGGGATTATCGGGGTTAAATTGAAGGGTGGAGCAGAGAATATTTGAATTAATAATTTTGTAGGTATGGGGGATGTTCCGTTTAATGAGGATATGGACATCTTGCTTGGAGGATGTGTTTTGGGGGTGGTTATGAAAGTAGCCAGTATATGCTTGGGGCAAATGAAATTTTTCAAATTATGATGCAAACATAAAATATCCGGAGAGTGATCTTGTATAAGAAGTGAGAGCTCATTAAAATTATTGAAGATTCCATTGATGTTCCATTGTAGGATTTTGATATACATGAATATTTGTATGTTAAGGATAAATTTTATGTTGGCGAGTTGGGCACAATGAAGGGAATTTGACTATGAGTCAAGTTCCCCCATTGACTCATCCGATTCATCGGATTTACTTAAAGAAGAGTTTGAGAGATTAAAATAGTTTTTGTCAGTATCGAGTGTTGGATTTATTATTTTGGTTTGTTTTGATTTGTTTAGAAAATCTTGTGCTGCCAAATGGAGAGCTCGCAATTTTCTGAGCGATTTGGATAATATATGGTAGTGGTTTGTAGAGGGGTGTAGGACTTGCACCGAGGGGAAGAGAGCAGATGGCTCTGTTGATAAATGTGAATTGGGAGAGGGGAAGGGTTGTGCCTGATAGGCTGGAGAGCCAGCCGCTTTTGGAGAGAGATTTAAGTCTTCGTTAGCCGATGTTTTGGTATTTGTTGTTGATAGAGCCAACAAATAGC